TGAGCCACCGCGCCCGGCCTCAGATAAAATTTCAATCAATTTGTCTTAGACCACCTACTATCTGCCAGGCAAATGATAGGTGCTGAGGGCACAGTGGGGAGCAGGTACACCCTGGTCCTTCCCTTGTGGAGTTTATTATCTGGAAACCAGATACAAGGCAGGAAATGCCACAGGTGGGTGTGTAGAAGCAGTGCTGGGACCACCGTGAGGCCTGAGATCAAGAGGCTTCCCTCCTGCAGGTGTCTATCTTATCATCCTTTGAGAGCCGCCTTATGAAGCTGGAGAACTCCATCATCCCTGTGCACAAGCAGACGGAGAATCTGCAGCGGCTGCAGGAGAATGTGGAGAAGACGCTGTCCTGCCTGGACCATGTCATCAGCTACTACCATGTGGCCAGTGACACTGAGAAGATCATCAGAGAGGGGTGAGTGAGGCCCAGAGGGTCAATTCTTAATGCCTCTTGGACCAACAGCCCTAGTCCTTAAAAGGGAGGAGGGGTAGAATATATTTAAGCCTGGAGTCCCCTGTATTAATTCTCTTCTTCCCCTTCCAAATACTTTGTCCTTAGTCCCTCTTCATCCCCCGTGCCCCAGCCTGATCTGGCTCTTCTCCTTCCCAGTCCCACAGGTAGGCTGGAAGAGTACCTGGGAAGCATGGCCAAGATTCAGAAGGCAGTGGAGTATTTCCAGGACAACAGCCCAGACAGCCCAGAACTCAACAAAGTGGTAAGGGATCAGCAGAATAATGTGAGAGGTTTGGGGACATCAGTCTCTGCCCTGGTCTCATGAGGGACATGGGGCCAGCGTGAGGATGTATGCGGAAGAATACCCAAAAGGATAAGACAGTACATCCTATAGGCATTAGGATCTCTGCCTCAAGAATTACACATTTTTTCTTATTAAAAAGTCTTTATTATAAATTTTTAAAATGTATTATAAAAATTATATTATAAATTACATATGTTTGATTTTTTTTTTTTGAGACGGAGTCCTACTCTCACCCAAGCTGGAATGCAGTGCTTGGCTCACTGCAACCTCGGCCTCCCAGGTCCATGCGATTCTCCTGCCTCAGCCTCCTGAGTAGCTGGGACTGCAGGTGTGTGCCACCACATCTGGCTAATTTTTGTATTTTTAGTAGAGATAGGGTTTCACCATGTTGGCCAGTCGGGTCTCTAACTCCCGACCTCAGTGATCCTCTACCTTGGCCTGGGATTACAGACATGAGCCATTGCACCCAGCCACATTTGATTTTAAAAATGCATTTGTTGTTTCTTTATTTTGGTTAAAAATGCATAATATAAAACATACTTTTTTTTTTTTTTTTGAGATGGAGTTTTGCTCTTGTTGCACAAGCTGGAGTGCAATGGCGCAATCTCAGCTCACTGCAATCTCCACCTTCCGAATTCAAGCAATTCTCCTGCCTCAGCCTCCTGAGTAGCTGGGATTACAGGCGCTAATTTTTTTTGTATTTTTAGTATAAACAGGGTTTCACCATGCTATCCAGGCTGGTTTCAAACTCCTGACTTCAGGTGATCTGCCTGCCTCGGCCTCCCAAAGTGCTGGGATTACAGGCCTGAGCCACCACGCCTGGCCAAAATGTACTATTTTAACTCTAAATTGACAGTTGGACCATCTTGGCCAACATGGTGAAACTCCGTCTTTACTAAAAATACAAAAATTAGCCAGGCATGGTGGCACATGCCTCTAGTCCCAACTACTTGGGTGGCTGAGGCAGAATTATTTGAACACGGGAGGCAGAGGTTGCAGTGAGCCGAGATCGTGCCACTGCACTCCAGCCTGGTGACAGAGTGAGACTCCATCTCAAAAAACAAAAACAAAAAACAGTGGCATTAAGTACATTCACATTGTTGTGTAGCCCTCACCATTATTATCTCCACAAGTATGTTCATCTTCCCCAAGTGAAACTCCACACCCATCAAACACTAACTCCCCATTCTCCCTTCCTCTGTCTTCTGGTAACCACCATTCCACTTTCTGTTTCTGTGAATCTACTCTAGGGACCTGAATCTATGTGACTTTTTTTTGCATTATGTCTTTTTAATATATATTTTTTAAGAGACAGGGTCTGAGCTGGGCACGGTGGCTCATGCCTGTAATCCCAGCACTTTGGGAGGCTGAGGTGGATGGATCACCTGAGGACAGGAGTTCAAGACCAGCCTGATCAACATGGAGAAACCCCATCTCTACTAAAAATACAAAATTAGCCGGGTGGGATGGTACACGCCTGTAATCCCAGCTACTTGGGAGGCTGAGCCAGGAGAATCTCTTGAACCCATAGGTGTAGGTTGTGGTAAGCCGAGACCGTGTCATTGCACTCCAGCCTGGGCAACAAGAGTGAAACCCTGTCCCAAAAAAAGAAAAAGAGACAGGGTCTGGCTTTGTCACCCAGGCCAGACTGCAGTGGCACAACCATAGCTACTGCAGCCTCAAACTCCTGGGCTCAAGCAATCCTCCCACGTCAGCCTTCCGAATAGCTGGGCCCACAGCCATGTGCCACCATGCCCAGCTAAGTTTTAAATTTTTTGTAGAGATGAGGTCTTCTGTGTTGCTCAGGCTGGTATCAAACTACTGCCCTCAGGTGATCTCCCACCTTGGCCTCTCAGAGTGCTGGGAGGGATTACAGGCATGAGCCACTGTACCTGCCTGCATTATATCTTTGTGTTTAAGTTTTGGGGTATGAGGTCATCAGAGAAAGATGGTAGTTGGGCCTCTGGAAATCACAAGTCTATTTTCCACCTTAATGGATTTGCCTATTCTGAACTTCTAATATAAATGGTATCTTATAATACCTGCTCTTTTGTGACTGGCTTCTTTCACTTAGCATGATGCTGTCAAGATCCGTCCATGCTATAGCATGTGTCAGTACTTCATTCCTTTTTCTTGCCATATGATATTCCTTTATGTGGGCAGACCACATTTTCTTTTTGAGATGGAGTCTCGACCAGGTGCAGTGGCTCATACCTGTAATCCCAGCACTTGGGAGGCTGAGGCAGGTGGATCACCTGAGATCAGGAGTTCAAGACTAGCCTGGCCAACATGGTGAAACCTTGTCTCTAAAAAAAAAAAGAAAAGAAAAGAAGAAGAAAAAAAAAGATGGAGTCTCACTCTGTCACCCAGGCTGAAGTTCAGTGGCAGCTTGATCTCGGCTCACTGCAACCTCCGCCTCCCGGGTTCAAGCAGTTCTCTACCTCAATCTCCTGAGTAGCTGGGATTACAGGTGTCCACCAACACGCCCAGCTAATTTTTTGTATTTTTAGTAGAGACAGGGTTTCACCATGTTGGCCAGGCTGGTCTTGAACTCCTGACCTCGTGATCCACCTGCCTCAGCCTCCCAAAGTGCTGGGATTACAGGCATGAGC